GGAATGAATGCAATGTATGTAATGTATGTAATTGTAATGTATGTAATGTATGTAATTGTAATGTATGTAATGACTGTAATGTATGTAATGTATGCAATGTATGTACTGTATGTAATGTAATGTAACATAATGTGACGTAATGTAACGCAACGTAATGTAACGTAATGTAACGTAATGTAACGTAATGCAACGTAATGTAGCATAATGTAACGTGATGTAACATAATGTAAGGCAATGTAAGGCAATGTATGCAGTGTATGCAGTGTATGCAGTGTATGCAGTGTATGCAATGCATGCAATGTATGCAATCCATGAAATCTATGCAATCGATGCGATGTTTGCAATGTATGCAATGTATGCAATCTATGCAAAGTCTGCAATGTATGCAATCTATGCAGTCTATGCAATCTATGCAATGCTTGCAATGTATGCAATCTATGCAATCTGTGCAAGCTATGCAATCTATGCAATGTATGCCATGTATGCGTGCAAAGGGTCTGATGTATGTAATGTATGTAATGTATGTAATGTATGCAATGTATGTAATGTATGTAATGTATGTATGTAATGCATGTAATGCAGGTAATGTATGTAATGTATGTAATGTATGTAATGTATGTAATGTATGTAGTGTATGTAGTGTGTGTAATGTATGCAATGTATGTAATGTATGTACTGCATGTAATGTATGTAACGTATGTAATGTATGTAATGTATGGTAATGTATGGTAATGTATGGTAATGTATCGTAATGTATGGTACTGTATGGTAATGTATGGTAACGTATGGTAATGTATGGTAATGTATGGTAATGTATGGTAATGTACGGTTTTTTTCCCGTGCAGACTGCAGAAGTCTGTGCACAGAACCATAGCCGTTGAAATTGTGAAAAAACAAATATGAACAAAGGTAGCGAGGTAATCGGCTGAGGAGAAATTAATTAAGAATGTGTGAAACATCTTGGAAATTTTCAAACGCCTTTCGCGTAGTCATTCCGTATGAAGTTGAAGGGGAACGGAAAGAGAATGTATATTTAGCGCAGCAGAACCAGGAACCGTTGTCTCATCGAATGAAATAAAACAAATAAATAAAAAGTGAAGGTGAACAAAGAAAAACATTAGCAAGTGAAGTGTTTAAGGAACAAACAAGCCAGTCAACCTATAACATTTCACCCTGACCTGAGGCAGGATGTGCATTCGGTGACGAAATTCGATGACGAAATTCGATGATGAAAAAATCAGTGACGAAAGTCCGTGACAAACATTCAGTGAGATCTTCGATTGCTGGGCACGTATGATGATATTTTCGGTACGTTGATCATTAGGCAAAGATGCTCTGCCTATTGAGTGCATTTGTGATTACAAAGCTTTGGTGCTCTCGGTTGTTGTAATCATATTCTTCATTGCGTCCTAGCATCCCAAAAGCATCCTTGAAGGATTGTAGTAGCCAGGAAGTTCGAGGTTTTCCGGGTCTTCGATGTTCAATGCGTGGTGTGTATGAACTGTATTCAAACAGCCTGGGTTTGTTCTCAAAATGTGGCCAAACAGTTTCAACTTACGCTTTAACCATGTACGGGAAGAGTTCAACTTCAGAGTCGAAATCGTTTTTTGAGAATTTCAAAGACTTTCTGATTCGTGTATGAACGGTCCATGAATGCAAGCGGAATCTTGAGAATTCATCGCAAACCCTTCATTTGAAAAGCACTAATTTTATCCTTATCTGAGGTTGTAAGTTCTATACATTCGAGTCCATATAATACTTTACTTTTCAAGATTGAATCAAAAACACAAATTTTCCACTTGATGGTGGTACGAGCTTTGTCCCAAAATATTTTCAACCTATTACATGTCGCCATTGCCGCTGCCAATCTGTTAAGCACTTCCCGTTGGTTATTTACACTATCTGAGAGCACGGTTCCCAAATATATTGCTTCATGTTTTCGGGGGACAAGCGTTCCATCCAGATATTTGACGCTAGATTGTTTCTGGTGCAGCGCAAGGTTAATGCATTTGTCATAATTCAAATTCAGATTGTAGTATAAGGATTCCCGCGGTATTGCATGTAAAAAATATTGATTGATTGGGTATGTGTGCCAAAAGTCAAAGTATCATCTGCATAGAGGACTTCTGCATATCGTATGCCTTTAATGGGTTCTAGTTGTTTTGGTGTGTTGAGTTTGGATTTGAGATCATGAAAGAGGGCCCCCATAAGAAGTATAAGTAGGAATGGTGATAGGAGGCATCCTTGGCGGATGCCTGACTCTTGTCTTCTGTACCTGGAGGAGATACCTTCAGTTGTAATTCTAAATTTTGGGTGGGCGTACATGTGAGTTACTAGTCGTAACATGTTTGGGGGTGTCTTAAGTCTTAAGGCGCCTCAAAACTTGTAACAGTTTAGATTGATTAATTTTGTCAAAAGCTTTTTCCCAATCTAATAGAACCAACGTCATATTCGACTGTTGTCGTTCGGTTATGTCCAAGAGCCGTCTGGCTACAAAAATGGCTTGTGATGTTGATTTCTTGGGTCGAAAACCGAATTGAGAATTTTGAATCCAGGAGTCATACGCGCACTGAAATCGATTACGGGCTAATCTAGCAAGGATGTTATAGAAAACCTGAAGTAGGACTATAGGCCTGTAATTCTTCATTTGAGTGGCATCCCCTTTCTTATACAAAGCAGCAATGTTGGCCAATGTGAAACATTCAGGGTAAATGCCGTTGATATGAATATCATTGAAAAAGTTCCAACAAGTACAGCCTGTTTATTCCAGAAAGCCATTTAATCAGTTCTGACCTACAGCCGTCTGGACCGGGTGCCTTGTTGTTCTTCAGCACCTTCAAGACCGCATCAAATTCGTGAGGTGTGAATGGAGAATCATCCATGCTGCTGTTACCATCAATAAGAGGTGAATTTTCTTTGTCTGGATCAAGGTAATTGTCTTGCGGTGCTGCCCACTGGACATCTGCGAAATAGTCCGCTGCTGTTTCTGAAAATTCTTTCTCATTGATTGGATCGCCGTGTTTGTTTTTGAATTTGTATCTCTTTGGTTGAAATGGTTTTCTTAGTAACCTTCCTGCGTCATGAGTTCAAGTTCGGTGATCAAACTTTTTTCTTTATCACTACGTGCTAATTTTCCAATGTCGCGTGCGAGCTGCTTTGCAGTGTTCCATTGACCTGCGTTGATGGCTCGCTGTTTTGCTTCTATTTTTTTGCCATGTCTGTTCTGATAGGTAGTCTTTCTTTTGTTTCGGAGCAAGTGTAGGAAGAGCCGACTTACCAGCATCGATGAGTATACTAGCTAATGACTCAAAAGAATTCGACGCATTCCATGTGCAATTCCTTTTTTCACTTTCAATTTTTTGTTGGACCAACAAGTTGTATCTTAGTCGTTGTTCTTCTGTTGGTTTTCGGAACTTCGGAACTGCCTGAGTGGCATTTTGTCTTTTATTTTTAGATGCAAATCTGACGTGCATGTCTGCTACAACTAAGGCATGGTCTGAATCAAGCAGGGTCCCGTGAATGTTGTAGATGTTTTTGATACTGTTCCTCCAAGTATCATTGATCAGAATATAGTCTAGCTGTGCGTGCGTTGCAGTACTGACCCCACTCAGGTCAAAATGTGTGGTAGTCGTGCTGCGATATGTGGCCAGCTTAGGAGTTGGTTTCTCAAACCAGGTGTTCATGGGGATAAGTTTGTGAGTCAAGCAAAAATCAACAAATAGCTGTCGGTTTTGTCTTTGTTGTTCGCTCAAGTCTTCCAACGTTGAAGTAGAAGTTCTATAAATGTGCTTTCCTATGACATGGGCTTCTTCTGGCAATTGTTCCAAGAACTATATTTATTTCGTGGTTGCTGCATTTGCGCAAGTGTTGGGACAAAAGCTCGTAGTGGCTGCTTTTACGTTGTAAGCTGTGGCCAGCATGCGGGACATGTGTGGCTGCAATGTTAATCCGGATTGGCCTAGTGCCGATTTTAAGGGCGATGTTGCTGCTATCACTTGCACATACGTCAAACTCCAGTCCTGATTGGTGTTTGAGCACCAATGCGCAGCCTAGTTTTTCTGCACTGCGTTGCCTGATTCGCATTCTTTCTGCCTGGGCTGTTTCGAAGGTGATTTTCTCTTTTTTAACTTTTCTGTTATAATCATCTAGTTCCCTCTCAGTCTTTTGTCTGTCTTCGTCCGACACTGTACTAGAAAAGTAGAAAGAATATTGTCCGTGCGTTTCTTTACCTGTGTAATTGACATGTGTCTCCAGTAAGGCAAGAATGTCAATGTCATGTTTTTTCATTAAGTACATCAGCTGCTGCCTTCGGGAAATGAAATTCATTCCACGGACATTGAAGACTCCAAGGCGGAGTGTTTTTCCGTTCGCTGTCGATATTTTGATCATTTTCGGGTCTGGCTGTTTCTCCTCAGGAGGTTTCGTGTTTGTAAAAGTTTGCGTGTTTTCTGTAAAAAGGGTTTCGGCTAAGATTCTTTCTTGAGCCAAAGAGTGTTGAGCTGGGTGCTTGGCTAAAGCCTTCCAGCACGCCCGCACTCGTCTAAATTCCCTTCTGTGTGTCGCTTTGCTTTGACGCCTGTTACATGTATGCATTAAGGTTTGAATACTTGATCTTTTTCCACGTCTGTGTGTGCGTTTCGAGTGAAGGTGGGGTTCTGAGCTCTTTTGGTTCACGCACCGTCCCTTAAAAGGTGGGCGCAACTCCCGCCGTACCAAAAGTTTGGGGGTAGAGCTAGGCTGTGCATACTTATGTCTTTTAGGGCATTGTTCCAGTTCCCTTTGTTTCGGTTTTGCCTTGGGGGGTAGGGACGAAGTCCCCCCTAACAAGCCAACATGCGGTGACGATTCGTTCGGTGACGAATCATTCGGTGACGACGCTGCCTAAAAGGAAGTGTAATATCTGGAGTTGTTTCCTTTGCTTGCATGGATGCTTTTTGTGTACAAGGTGCGCGCTGTAAGCAGTCATTATTTCCCCGCTCGCGTGCTGAAAGGCGTTGTTCCTACAGGAGCAAGTCAGGCTGCAGGATGCGCTTTGCAATCCTGTCGAGGTGCCCGGTGTATTTGGTAGCAAATTCTTCCTGATTGATGCACCTGATTTCAAAAGTGAAAGGCATTTTTGTTTTCATGCTTAAAGTAGAAACCTTATAGTATGAGCCTTTTCCATCTGTTCCTAAGCCTACTGCTTTGAGGAATCCTCCGGGGTCAGTCAGTACTCCTTCTCCTCCTTTGCTCTTGCCTTTGCCCTTGGCGCCGACGGCTTTCTTGGTCATCTGGGCGCCCAAAACTGCATGGAACTCATCTTCAAACTGTCTAGCTGTGAAAAGCCTGCGGTCAAAGTAGACCTTTGCAATTCCTTGTAGGTGGTCGAGTGCGAGCCAGGCGATGTACTCCTCTGTCTCGGGGTTTTGAAGGGTGAGGTGCTTCCATGAATGTCTCCATTTCAGATTTGGGGCCAATTTTGTGATCACGGCCATCATTGCCTTGAGTGGTTCGGTTTGCATGCGGTCAAATGCAGCGATACACGGTTCTACTTCGATCATGCCATTCACCTCGGCCTTGTTGTTGCCATTGGTCAGGTGGCTCAATTTCTCACTGGTCCATTCCGTAATTCCTTTCTTGTCAAAATTTTGGGCATACCACTCCATCAACTTCTGTTTGGTGTAGAAGTTACCGACGTTCACCATGGTGAAGGGGGAAATAGATTTGCCTCGGCGGTGGTCAAAGTGAAAGTGCCTAATGTCCTTCTCATCTATTCGTGCCTCTTGAGCTGCCCAATTGATCATGATCTCCCTATGTTCACGAAGTAGTGCATAGTTCTCATCGGACTCTACATACTGCCAACAGTTCTTGACCATGATTTTGCATGCCGCATCTGAACGTTGTTTCTCTGCTTCTTGGTATAAGAGGTATGCCAGTTGATTGCGAGAGGTCTTCATCTGATCCTTGAAATCCCGGATGTCTTCCACTATGTCGCTGATCTTGCCTTCGATGATGGTTGTGAGCGTGGTGTTGAAAGTGTCTTCCAGGTTCTGGTTTGGCATATCTTCCTCCTTTGGCTCTCTTTCTTCACTTCGCCCTTTCTTGACTTGTACTGGTGTGTTCTGATGACTTCTAGATTCTGGGCTTCTTTTTGTCACTTGTCCTGGGCCCCATTGGCGGGGCCCATTTGTGCTTTCCATTGCTCGGGAAACCTACAGCCTAAAATAGCTTGCACACGCCTGAACCTCACGGCTGGTAATGTATGATAATGTATGGTAATGTATGGTTCTGTATGGTTCTGTATGGTTATGTATGTATGTATGGTTACGTATGTATGTCTGTCTGTCTGTCTGTCTGCCTGCCTGCCTGCCTGCCTGTCTGTCTGTCTATCTGCAAATATATATATATATATATGTATGTATGTATGTAATGTAATGCAATGCAATGCAATGCAATGTAATGTAATGTAATGGTATGTATGGTATGTATGGTATGGTATGGTATGGTATGGTATGGTATGGTATGGTATGGTATGGTATGGTATGGTATGGTATGGTATGGTATGGTATGTATGGTAATGTATTGTAATGTAATGTAATGTAATGTGATGTGATGTGATGTAATGTAATGTGTAATGTAATGTAATGTAATGTAATGTAATGTATGTAATGTATGTAATGTAATGTATGGTAATGTATGGTAATGTATGGTAATGTATGGTAATGTATGGTAATGTATGGTAATGTATGGTAATGTGTGGTAATGTATGGAAATGTATGGAAATGTATGGAAATGTATGGTAATGTATGGTAATGTATGGAAATGTATGGTAATGTATGGTAATGTATGGTAATGTATGGAAATGTATGGTAATGTATGGTAATGTATGGCAATGTATGGCAATGTATGGTAATGTATGGTAATGTATGGTAGTTTATGGTAATGTATGGTAATGTATGGCAATGTATGGCAATGTATGGTAATGTATGGTAATATATGGTAATGTATGGTAATGTATGTAATGTATGTAATGTATGTAATGTATGTAATGTATGGTAATGTATGGTAATGTATTGCAATGTATGGCAATGTATGGTAATGTATGTAATGTATGGTAATGTATGGTAATGTATAGTAATGTATGTAATGTATGTAATGTATGTAATGTAATGTGATGTAATCTAATGTAATGTAATGTAATGTAATGGTATGTATGGTATGTATGGTATGTATGTAATGTATGTACTGTAATGTAATGTACTGTAATGTAATGTAGTGTAATGTAATGTAATGTAATGTAATGTATGTAATGTATGTAATGTATGTAATGTATGTAATGTATGTAATGTATGGTAATGTATGGTAATGTATGGTAATGTATGGCAATGTATGGCAATGTATGGTAATGTATGGTAATGTATGGTAATGTATGGTAATGTATGGTAATGTATGTAATGTATGTAATGTATGTAATGTATGGTAATGTATGGTAATGTATCGCAATGTATGGCAATGTATGGTAATGTATGGTAATGTATGGTAATGTGTGGTAATGTATAGTAATGTATGTAATGTATGTAATGTATGTAATGTATGTAATGTAATGTGATGTAATGTATGGAAATGTATGGTAATGTATGGAAATGTATGGAAATGTATGGTAATGTATGGTAATGTATGCTAATGTATGGTAATGTATGGTAATGTATGGTAATGTATGGTAATGTATGGAAATGTATGGAAATGTATGGAAATGTATGGTAATGTATGGTAATGTATGGACATGTATGGTAATGTATGGCAATGTATGGTAATGTATGGAAATGTATGGTAATGTATGGTAATGTATGGCAATGTATGGCAATGTATGCTAATGTATGGTAATGTATGGTAGTTTATGGTAATGTATGGTAATGTATGGTAATGTATGGTAATGTATGGTAATGTATGGTAATGTATGGTAATGTATTGTAATGTATGGTAATGTATGGTAATGTATGGTTATGTATGGTTATGTATGGTAATGTATGGTAATGTATGTATGGATGGATGGATGTATGGATGCATGGATGTATGGATGTATGTATGTATGTATCTATGTACCTATGTATCTATGTATCTATGTATCTATGTATCGATGTATCGATGTATATATGTGTCTATGTATCTATGTAACGTATGTATTTATGTATCTATGTATGTACGTACGTTTGTATGTATGTATGCATGCATGCATGGAGATACTGTATACATATGGAACATGTAACTATTGAAACATAACAAATATATAACCGTGGGAGCAAGTAAAGGGTTATGAAAACAATGCTAAAACAAAACCGTGATAGACAGGAGATCGCCTGCCAAGTTTAACATGTTTGCCGTAATTCTGTCGACGACTGTATGTAGATATGTATATTCATATATCATATATATATATATATATGTGCATATATCGTACTTATATCTATTAATTTAATATATATATACAGTACAGTACATATATTATATAATATATATATATATAATTTCCATTACTGTCATTTCCAGGTTTTCAACTTTTCTATATGTGTCTATCTTTTGGGGCTTCCATGGGATAGCATTAGATGGGATAACTCAGCCCTGCCATATCTGTTACCCTCTGGAAAATGGCCCATTTATAGATGATTTTCCCATTAAAACCCCTATTTACAAGGGATTTTCCATGGCTATGTTAAATAACCAAATGGTATTTTTTATTTGTGGCACCCAGCTCTGAACCTTGAGGATAGGGTATCCCAAAAGCATCATTTTCACCCACATTGCCATATAGTGGGGGGTCAATTCCCTATTTCTGGGGAAACACCATGGGGAAATGCACCCCTGATAAGATGGCATGTTGGAAGATCATATCCTTTTCTTGTAGAAAAAAAAGGGGTTGGATTAGCATAGTATATCCATTTCGTGGCCAATCTCAAATACTCTGCATAAAAAAGAACTGGTTGTTATGTTTATATTTATCACTGTTTCATACTATTTAAATCTATTTCATACAATTTCATACTATTTCAACATATTTCAACATAGTTAATATACGTATGATTACGTATGTCAATATGTTCAACATATTGAACTACTAAGTTGATCTAGATTTACGCATTTATTTCCACTCTTTCAAATCCTCCCAGGACCTCTGGGTGTCTGACGGTGACCAAAAACTCGGCCTCAGCGCAAGCGTCGCCATGGGTCCAACGTTTGGGTCGATGGGTCGATCGCGGCAGTTGGTCAACCAACATGGACCCTGCCGAAAATGAAGCTGATGGATGCTACATGATCCAAAAAACAGTAAATCAGTTTCAAAAAATGGCAGTTTATGAGAACTTCACTCATTTGTTTAAAGAATGATTGATGCATATTTAAAAAAAAAAATCAAACTGCATCAACCAAAACGGGCGAGAACACATTGAAGGGGAATAAGTAACCACAACGAACTCTGGGAGAAACAACCACTTCGGAATACAATTTGGTCAAATTCAGGTCTCCGATTTGTAGCATTGCCTTCACGGCCTAACAATTTTGGGGTACCTTGTATCGTCTACCCATTCACCCCAGGGTCAAGTTCACAGTCAATCGTTGCAGAGTGTCTGGTTCCTTGAAAGCCAGGCATTTCCTACAGGTCAATGCGGTAAATCCACTAATCAATCATAACCATACTACCATTTGGAGGTCTCAAGCCCAAGAAAAAAACCACCCTGAAACATTGTCTTCCCACATTATCATACATATGGAGGTTTCCGTTTTGTCATGGGGGTACCCCCAGTTCTCATCCATTTTAGATTGGGATGTTCCATGAAATTTATAGCAACCATTTTCCAAGACGGCTCGGCCCAGCTTGGGTTTCTCCACGGCTCAATTGTCAGCTTGGGAATGATGGGAACATGCTGAGTAACCAGTGGATTTGGGGGGGTAATACGGTATCTGATCAAACATATGTTTAATTTCATGGAAAACATCATTCATCTCCACTTGTTCAAACATCCGGGAACATCCCAACTTGTCAATATATTGGTTCAAGGGGAAATCTTCACCGGAAACCCGGAAAATGTCCCATGGAAATTCAATGGGGCTACAGGCTGTAAACCAATCCATTGACATATTTAACCCATATCCAAAGATGTTCATATTAAACCAATCCATTGATATTGACTATTTACTTACATATTGAACAATTACTGTCAGTAAGGGGAAACCATAGATTGTCCCATTCATTTCATGGGTTTTCCCGTAAAATTTCCCTTAAACCAATCCATTGATGACTTCGGGACCCCCAATCTCTGCCTTCAGCTTCTTGAAGACCCAGAGATTCCATGCTGCTGTTCCACTGGGAGTAGCACCCTGCGGTGCTACGGTCTCGGCTTGGTGGTTTAAGCCCCAAGAGCCATGGATCATCTACCCTGGGGGAAACGAATACTGTATGGATCTGGAACACCCTATGATAGGATACTCTAGTAAAATAACCTATAAATGCTTGATGTTCATTGATGTTCCACATCATGAGCTTCCCCTAGGGTAAAATATGTTGAACATCAAGTGGGATCATAGTCAAGTTCTGGATTTTCCTGATCAGACTATCTGACCTTAACTGAATCATTCATACACTTCTGCTTAGAATCCGAAATCTACCCCATCTGTGGATGCTTTATACAGTGCCACACATTTCTGGTAAAATCTGGGTTGCTTCATTGGCTTTACCACACTTGTTCAGCTTCTGTTCGCAAGAAATAGAAGTATCATCAATATCAGCCTGGGTAATCAAGCAATACATATACTAATATAGCCTAATAATAATGCAATATATATCGAGGGTGTTGGTTGTCATGAAGATGTTCACCAATGAGAATGGCCGGCCTGAACCGACGACGCTTAGTCGTGCTTAGTCGTGCTGCTTGGCTATATCATGCTATATCCCCATGGAATTATCAATAAATCATCTTCTAAACACCATTGATTCAGCCATATCAAGCCATCAGAATCTCCATGATTTCAAACGCCAGGCCTCCTCCACTCCAGCAGCAGCTGGTGTCAAAGCAAAGTCCACAAGTTTTTTCAGGGCCTGACGTGCGCACCTGTTGTTGGTTGATGATTACCAATCTATGGATATGTCATGTGCGGCATAATAATTTACAGAATAGCGAACTCGCAGGCGGACAAATGCCAAATTGATTGCAAGATCACATGACTTGAATACTAGTAACATGTCAGACAATGTCAGATAAACATATCTTAAACATGCCAGACTATATGCAAAATAATGTCTATGTCTATGTGTGTAACATAGAAGGTCAAACAGAATGTCAAAATGTATGTCAAATAGAATGTCGGAATATAATATATGCGAACTGAATAGAATGCCAAATAACATGTCAAACAGAATGCCTGAAAGAATGTCAAAATATATGGTAAATAGTAATGAAACATAGAATGCCAAATAATATGCCACACACACATATTATATACATATAATAATAATAAAAATAATAACAACTAATATTGTATGTATGTATGTATGTATGGCATGTAAGGTATGTATGCTATGTATGCTATGTATGCTATGTATGGTATGTACAGTATGTACGGTATTTATGGTATGTATGGTAATGTATGTAATGTATGGTATGTATGGTATGTATGGTATGTATGGTATGTATGGTATGTATGGTATGTATGGTATGTATGGTATGTATGGTATGTATGTATGGTATGGATGTATGGTATGTATGTATGGTATGTAT